GCTCCCAAGACATGCAATTCATATATGTCTTGCCTGGATGAGAAAGATCTGCTTCTGACTGTAGGGTACTTAGAGATGCTGTCAATAGACCCAATGGGTTGAAAGTCCCTACTGGTATGAAAATTATATATTGTTATATATATATACACTATATCTATATTAAACAATTATTTTGTTACATACATAGTGAAACCATGTTACATAATTACAGGCCACTACTATCTTGTAGATGCGGGTTACACAAATGGGGAGGGTTTTCTTGCACCATATAGAGGACAGCGTTACCATTTTTCCACATGGAGAGAAGGGGGTGCCCCAACAACTCCACAAGAGTTTTTTAACATGAGGCACTCTTCTGCTCGTAACGTCATTGAGAGGTGTTTTGGGCTACTTAAAATGAAGTGGGCAATATTGAGGACTTATTCTTACTTTCCAATCAAGACTCAATTTCATATTATCACGGCATGTTGCCTTCTCCACAATCTCATACAACGTGAAATGGCTATGGATATGGATCTTGATGATGATGAGAATGAGGAAATGAATCCTCCTCCTCCAACTACTAAATTAGGGGATGAAATGATTGATGTTGTTGAAACATCTGATCAATGGAGTGAATGGAGAACTACCTTGGCAACCCAAATGTTTAATGAATGGTAAGCAAGCAGAGGTCAATAAATTAGTGTTGTATGATGATTATTATGTAATAGTGAGAGTTTATTATGGCATGTAATTCGAACCGTATTTGTTTAGTTTTTGTGTGGTATTTGTAACAAATATTGTGTAAGTTGATTTGTTATTTATGATTGACATGTGTGATATGATTTAAACTTATGACATACATATATATACGTATGGATGACACAGGTACGTATATATACGTATGGATGACATACATATATATACGTTTAAATCATTAGCAAAAAATGGGCTCGGCCTGCTTTGGGGATTCCTAGTGAACTATCAGAGATGGCAAAAAATCTTGGATCATTCATTGAGAATACTAATACTACGATGGTGGAGATTGCTCATAAGATAGGATATTTACATGACCTATCCCAACAAAAGATATTGGTTAATGCAGAACTTTTGAAGTTGCCAATGAGTAATACCCAAAGATTGATGGCAGCATCTATGATAGTGAAAGATGAAGACGAAGTTGACTTATTCTTCAGTTTAGATGAGAATGACAAGATGGAGTGGGTTTCTTTGCTATTGGAAGGTCATATTTGAATGTGGCATCTACTGTATGATGGTCTATTTGTATGATGGGTTTCTTTTTGTTTGCTCATGTGTTGGGCTGTTTAAGACTGGTTTTTGTAGCTTGCAATCTATTTATATGTTGCTCCTATGTTGGACTAGTTAAGATTGGTTCTTGTAGCTTGCAATCTATTTGCTACATATTTTGTATAAGCCAATCACAGTTCGACACGTGGCAGAATGAAAGCAATACGTGAAGACAATTCAAATCTTCAATCGTAGTCTCACACGTGGCAGTTGATATTGGTTATTGTAGATCTGCACAGCACTGGGTCAGCAAAGAGATGCAAAATGACGTGGCTTCAACGGTTACTCATATTTAAATTCAAAATCCGGAGGGAAGCCTAATTGCAGATATGGCATAGTGGAGCTAATTGTAAGGTAACATGATCAGCCATCATGGAGAGATGATTCGACTGTTAGAAATGCATTTCGACGGTTGTCATTGAGAAGTATAAATAGCAGAAAAGGCCCCACAAAGAGCCCCCGGCCTCAGATCTAAAAAACCAGTTTTATCTACTTTATTTTTCCTCCAGTTTTTACATTTCTGTACTTCAAATTCCTGCACTGAACTTCGTTTATAGGAGTATTTTCAAGTAGTTTGTTGCTGTAAACCTCTACGAGGCTGATTTGGATCTTTGTAAGTCTTCCATTTTACTTAATGAAATGTTACAAGTGTTCTTCATATTAATCGTTGTTTGCTTAATTCTCCTAAACAAAGTCATCAGTAAAAGTCCTCTTCATTGAGGCTGAAAGAACTAAAACACAATCGTCTGATAATTGGTTGGCAATTAATATTCTGTAAGGACTGATTAATCCTTGCTGGCACACTCAAAATTACAGTAATAACCTTCGCAAGCCAAAAAGCCAACATATATTTTTGGCACGCCCGGTGGGACTAATTAAAATGGCTAGACGTAGGAGACAAGGAGAAAATGAACGCTTGGAAGAAGGTGTGGAAGGAGAGGTAGAAATACATAATCCAGAGGATAATGTGATAACACATCCTGTGGAAGTACCTGTTTTATCAGAATCTATGGTCGAACAGACCAGCACTTTAGAGCGAGTACCACATGTTCAAAGTATTGGACGAGGCCAAGGAATTGGACCATCCACTGTTTCATCTACTCAGCCAATGAATCTATGGGGAGGCTTAGTAGATACCATAAGACAACAGTTAATGAACACAATGGAAAGATGGGCAACATCCTTTTTGGATCGAATGAATACTCATCAACTAACTAACGCAAGTCACATAAAGGAAATTTCAAATGTCCCTCAGCAAAGATTGGCTAGAGATAAACAACCTATGCAGAGTAATGGACATATTAATGGTCAAACTAGTAACCAAAACTATGAAAGACCATCACATCAGTCTTGGTATGAGCCTCTTTCGAGGTCTGTGACAAATCAAAATGCCTCATTACTTAACAGTGAAGCCATGCAAAATTGGTGGATCTGGCCCAACACAAGAAAATAGCATAAGGATGTTTCCAAATCCCCTATTTGAAGCCATACCTGGCACGAGGGGGTTCACTAATCCTTTGTTCGAATTTGTACCTGGGGGGTTGGAACGAGTTTCCTGCAACTGGAAGAGACACAACACCTATTCCAACACCTTTCGCAGGTCCTTTCGTAGGACAAGCTCAGAGGGGTCACCCATACGCTCAATAGCAGCCAGCACCACAGGGACAACCAGTCCCAAATATACCGCCCTATGGACCAAGAGGACCTTAGGCACAAGGTTGTCCACCAAATCTTGTGTTTGTTCCTCCAATAGTGGTTCAACAAGCACAAAATATGGTTCCTATGGACCAAATTGCTGATATTATTAGAGAGATGTGTAGACCGATGGCTCAGGGGGTTCAAACTCCTGTGTACAGGAAACCATATCCAGAATGGATAGATAGGGTACATGAATACCCAAGAGGGTTTAAGATACCAGACTATGCTCTTTTTTATGGGAATGGAAACCAGTTAACAGTAGAACATATTGCTAGGTTCGCTGCTCACTGTGGTGAATTTACCAACAATGATTTCATGAAGTTAAGACTGTTCCCAAATTCTCTAATTAGGGCAGCCTTTGTATGGTATATTAACTTTACATCTGGCTTTATCCAAACTTGGCAACAAATGGAGGAGACATTTCATGCCTAATTCTTCCAAACAGAGCTAGAAGTTTCCATGGCAGACCTGGCAAGGTTGAGTCAAAGGCCTGATGAGAAGGCTGCTCAGTTTATTACCAGATTCAAAAGAGCACAAAAAAAATGTAGGATCATCTTACCAAAGCCTAAGTTCGTGAGATTGGCTCAAAACGGTTTAGAGTATAGGCTTCAAAAGAAGTTTGACTCAACTGAGTTTAGAGACCTAGTGGAATTGACCTATAAGGTATCTAGGTATGAAGCAAGGTTTTGAAACTCGGACCGGACCGGCTGGTTCAACCGGTTGAACCAGTGACCGGGTGAGATTCCGGTCCGGTTGGCCCTCTAAAACCGATCAAATGTAAAAACCGGTGTATTTTCATAGAACCGGTGAAACCGGTGGTTCAACCGGTGAACCATTCGAACCGGTGCCGGGTTAATTAAACCGGGGCGGTTTGATTATATATATATATATAAAAAAAAAAATAGATTTGTTTCTATTTTTCGTTACTTATCTTCAGCCATCTAGGGCTTTTTCACACAGGTCTCTTCCCTTCCCTCTGTTAGAGCATCCGATCTATCTCTCTCTTTTTTTTTTCGCCATTAACGAATCAATCAAGCAAGGTTCTCAACTTTACACACTGATTCACCATCACTGCTGCCAAGAATCACAGCCGCCAGCAGCCTCCAGGTATTATTTTGATGAATCTTTGAATCTCCTTCTTTGTTTTTCAAAAAAATTTGGTTTACTTACAACGGCTCTGTTTTCGATTTTCCTTTTCCTCTATTTTTTTTTTACAGAATGAAAAATATATAGAGATTCTCACAAAAAATTTTCAGATTGAAAAATATATAGAGATTTTTTATTCTTCTATTTTCTATTTTTTTCTTCAGAATTTTTTTTCCCCCTTTATAGATAGATCATAGATATATAGAAAACATATTTTGAATTGAAATGGTGCACTAATTTCCCAATGTCAAACGACTACTTCTCAGTTGAGAGTGAAGACTAAAGTGAGAGAGAGGGGTATAGAGAAGCAGAGAGTGCATTTGTAAAGAAACCCATCTCATTATCTTCACCCAAAAGGTACTTCCCATCCCTTTTATCTCTCTATCTCAAACATTTTACACCATTTTACTTTTTTTTTTTTTTGGTGGCAACTCATTGTTTTACAGGCTGATATTATTATGATATTTTCTATCAATTTCTTATTTTTCCTGCCTAAATATCTGAAGATCTTTCTCATGCTTTCACTTTGATTGAGTTTTTTATTTTACTTTAATGTCTACATCAGATTGTGAAACGGGTCAATATTCATATTACCAGTCAATTAATATTAGATGACCTTAATTTTCAAATATTTATGAAGTTAAATTGTGATTTGGTGGGTATGTTATTCTGGGTTGCTTCTTGATTTGTGAATTCAGTGATGATAATTTGGATACCCATGAAGTTAAATTGTGATTTTACACCATTTTTATTAATTTGAATAATTATGATCCTACTTTCTGGAATATTAATTTGAATAGGAGTACTTTTTTTCTTTTTTCTTTTTTCTTTTTTTCATTTGTTCTTAGTCTAAGTTGTAGTTGTGAGAGATGTCATCTGGCCAGAATTCAACAGCTAATTCCACTCAAGCCACAAGGGGAAAATCTGATATTGCATGGGCACATGTTATCGAGGGACGAGATGCCAATGGGAAGAAGACTTACTCATGTATGTATTGTAGGAAAACTATTAAAGGTGAAGGGATTAATAGAATGAAGTAACATCTTGCAAAGACGTCAGGTGAGGTTAGGCCATGTAAAAAAGTTCCCCCAAATATTCAATATCAAATGCATGAATCTTTGAAAGCATTTGATAAAATGAATAAGCAAAGTGAAGAAAATTATGATCAATTAAATCCTTATGGTCCAGGTGGCTTTCAATTTGAGGGTGATGATGTTTATGTCAATGTTGATGATGAGGACGATGAGGTTATGAGAATAATTCCTCAGAACAATAAGGGCATTTCAATCAATAAGTAGGAATAAGCGTAGAGCACCAATGACATAGAAAGGGAAGGGGAAGAGACATGAACCAACAAAAATCGGTGATTATTTTGCACCAAGGACCACTCTAGGTTCTCAACTAACTATCAAAAGCGCCCTCCAAACTAAAGAAGCCATACATAGAGCACATATGATTGTTGGCAAATTCTTTTATGATACTTGTATTCCAATCAATGCTGTGAACTCCATTTATTTTCAGCCCATGTTTGATGCCGCAATTGCCATTGGTCCAGGATATAAGGTCCCCACGTACCATCAACTTCGAGTTCCTTTATTGGGAGACTCAAAAAAAGAGCTTCAATTGTATATTGACACTTTGAAGAGTTCGTGGGCTGCTTGCGGATGTACTATTATGGGTGATGGTTGGACTGATGCTAGACAAAGAAATCTAATAAATTTTCTTGTCTATAGCCCTATGGGAATTGCTTTTGTGAAATCAATTGATGCCTCTGATGCTGTCAAAGATGCTACTCTTCTTTCTAAATTGTTTCTAGAGGTTATTGAGTGGGTAGGAGTGTCGAATGTTGTTCATATGGTGACAGATAATGTAGCAAATTATAAAGCTGCTGGAGGACTTGTAAATGCTACTTACAAATCTATAAATTGGTCTCCATGTGCAGCTCATTGCTTGAACTTAATCTTAAGTGAAATTTCCAAGATGAATCATGTGCATGAGCTTGCTAATAAGGTATCAACGGTGACAAGGTACATATACAACCGTTCATGGTTGTTAGCTCGGTTGAGAAAGAAGAAGAGTTGGACTGAAATTGTGCGCCCAGGAGCAACGCGCTTTGCCACTACTTTCCTTGCATTGCATAGTATTCATGAGCATATGCATGATTTGCAAGCTTTGGTGACAAGGAGTTTGCAAGTTCAAGATTTGCCAAAGAGAAGAAAGGAAAGGATGCCATTGATATCATTTTAGATAAACAATTTTGAAAGAATTGCTTCATCATTGTTAAGATTGTTGAGCCACTTATGCGTCTCTTGCGTATTGTTGATGGAGATGAGAAACTGTCTGTGGGATATGTTTATGAAGGCATGTATAGGGCAATCAAAGGTATTAAAGATATTTTCAAGAAAAATAAGAGGTTGTATAGGCCTTACACAACAATCATTAAAACTCGTTGGGATAATCAATTGCGAAAGAATATACATGCGGCTGCTTATTGGTTGAACCCAACTTTTCAATATGATCAAGCTTCATTTTGCCAAAAGCCAGAGGTTATGAATAGTGTACTTGATGTGATTGAAACTAAAGCCACATCAAGTAAAGCGAAGCTCATGAATGAACTTAGATTGTTTCGAGATCGACAAGACAGTTTTGGAAGAGAGCTTGCCATTATTACATCAAAGAAAACACAACCTGGTAATCTCTCTCTTTTTTTTTAATAGTAATTATCATTATTATATGCTTTTAATTAGAATATTTTATCTCATTTATCTATTTCTTGTTTCTTTTTTATTTTTTATAATATCTTTCTTTCTTTCTTGATAATAAGATGAATGGTGGAAGATGTTTGGACACAGTGCTCCAAATTTGCAAAAGTTAGCCATTCGAATTCTTAGTCAAACTAGCAGCTCTTCTGGGTGTGAAAGGAATTGGAGCGTCTTTGAACGCATACATACAAAGAAGAGGAATAGACTAGAACATCATAGGCATAATGATCTTGTGTGTGTTCATTACAACTTGCGATTGAAGAATAGGTAAATTAATCTTTCTCATATAGTAACTAATGGATTCTTTATTTTATTCGTTTATTTAGCCTTACATTTGAATCAAAATAGGAAGTATTACAAAACAAGGAATTATGATCCCATTGACATTGAAAGCATTGACAAAACCGAGTTTTGGATTATTGAAGAAGAAAGACTAGAACAAGAGGAGCCTCCATTGCTTGATTATGATGAGCTCGAAAAAATGCTTTATAAAGAAGATGAGCCTCCACGATATAAGAAGTAATGTCATGGTCTACGAGATGGTTAGAAAATATTGTTTCATCATTATGCAACAAATTTTTTTTTTTATCAATCATTATCAAAATGATAGCTTAATGATTTTATTTTAACTATTGTAGATGATGTTGAGGATGATATGGAGGTAGAACTTCTTGGAGATACTTGGGATCTTTTGGTGACGTGAACATTGATAATAGATCAAACAATCCGAGCTCTAGTGCAAATGCGAATGAGAATGATGATGATGATTGGCTAAATTATCATCCCTAGGAGATTTAGGCAAAAATCAAAGATTGTTTGTGATGTTATGTTGTGTTGTCTGTAAACTTTGGACTTAGTTTTCTCTTTTTTGAAACTTATGTTTTATGGATTGCTTTAGTTGGATGCTTTCATAATTTTTCTTACTATGATTGTTGTTTTTAATAACTAAATTTTCATCTTTAATTTTATTTGTTGTTAGTATGTGAAGTGTTATGGCTTATATTCAGGAATTTTTTTTTTAATTATAGAAAAACATTACTAAAAATATTTAAGAATTTTTTTAAAAAAAATTGAAAATTTAATATTTAAATTGTTAATTTATATTTTTAAAAAAATTATTTATGACATAATTATGACGTCACGGTTCGATCCGGTGACCCGTCCACCCGATCATTTTTCCGGTTCGCTTGCCGGTCTTGTTTTTAAAACCTTGGTATGAAGTATTACTAGAATGTTATCCAAAAGACAACCTAAGAGGGGGGGTGAATTAGGTTTTTACAATTAAAATTAATAATACCCTAATAAAAATTATGACTAGCACAATAGATAAATATAATTAATGAAATAAAAATAATTAAAACAATTGTCTTAATAACTATGTCAGTTAATGATTTTAGCACAGTAAAAATGTGAAATATAGCTATGACAATTTAAAATAAAATAAAAAGATAAGGGAGAGAGAGGCAAACAAATTTATAGTGGTTCGATTTCAACTCGGCCTACGTCCACTCCTCAAGCATCACTTGAGATTTTCCACTATCTTCTAACTTCACAGGGATGCTAGCAACCTCTTTACAAATAGAGCAATCCTCCACGGATTTCACACAGACTTCACAAGTCCAAACCCTTACAAATCTTAGGTGATTCACAATCACTCTCAAGATTTCAAGAACACAGTGTTTGCAACACTTTTACAAGATGAAATGGTATTTTTGCTTTCAAAGAAAGCTTACAATAAATATCTCTCAAAGATAGATATATCAAATGAAGCTTTGATTTTTCTGTAAATCTCACACAGGAAAGATGAGCTTAATGCTATAAGACTCAGTGTATAATTTCTGAGAATAGATGTGAGTGAGATCAAAGAATATTTTCAGATTTTTTTATAACTTGTTTACATTAGAAACTTTGGTATATATAATGAAAATTATAGCTATTTATAACCGTTGTATTTATTTGAATTTATAGCTGTTGTAGTCATTTGAATTTATAGCCGTTTATAGCCATTGTAGTCATTTGAATTTATAGTCGTTTATAGTCGTTGTACTTCTATCATTACCAATTTGAATATTTTTCACTCCATCATTACAAATTTGAATATCTTTCACTTGAACCTTTTGAAGCTTTTGGCCTTTTGAACCTTTATAGCCGTTTATAGCCGTTGTATTTCCATCATTACTAATTTGAATGTCTTCCACTTGAACCTTTTGAGTCTGCTACTGTGCTAGGCAGTTTGAACCTTTGTTTTGGGCTGTTTGAACTCCTGATTTAATCAAATATTAAATGCATTCTAACAACATTTAGGATAAAGGTTTAGGTAAGAAATAATGGGACAAAATAAATTTTGATTCATCCTACCAGAGCCTGAATTCGTGAGATTGGCTCAAAATGGTTTAGAGTTTAGGCTTCGAAAGAAGATTGACTCAATTGAGTTTAAAGACTTAGTGGAACTAACCTCTAAAGTGTCTAGGTATGAAGCATTACTGGAGGAAGAACAAGATTGAAGTAATGCATCATACAAGACGTATTATAGAGACCCTAATTATGAGATTGATGCAGCAGAGATTGTATGGAATGAACTTGTAATCTGTGAAGGATTAATTCATAAAGACACAACAATAGACCAGCAGTTTAAAAAGAAAGACCTTCATAGGAAATACTCTTTCGATTTAACAAAAGCAGATGACATTTTTGATCATTTGTTTGGGGAAAACTTCCTGAAGTTACCAAAAGGAGTCAAAATTCCGTCTCCAGAGGAACTTAAAGGAAAAGTGTATTGTAAATGGCATAATTCTTGGTCTCACTCAACTAAAAACTGTATTGTTTTTCAAGACAGAATCCAAGAGCAAATTCGAAAGAGAAGTTTAAAATTCCTAGCTAAGGCAGAAAAGGCTATGGGGATTGACACTAATCCGTTCCCAAAAATTGGAGAAGTGACAGCCAATATAATTGTGCCAGACTTTCAAAACTTATCCTTGAAGGAATTGGAAAAGGTCAATGTGCAAAAGCATGTTGCCAGCCAGACTACTATCAAGAAAGATGCTAGAAGTTTACCAGCTGTTGAACAAGGCTTTGCAGGCCAGAAGGAAGACTCTGATAAAGAGGCACTGGATGATGATTCTTTAGAGGTAGCTGGTCATGCAAAAAATGTGTCCCAGGTGTAGGTTGAGTTACAAGTGGTTGCAAGGGCTTCCGATTAATAAGAAACAATATTACAAGGATGTGCAGAGGCATCCTAAACCAACCAGTGCCTATAACAAGAGGCCATATCCAACTAGTACTAGGCAGCAGCCATTCATGGTTGAGCCAACAGCCACTAGAATGCACTCCAAGGGCAAGAGACCTCTACATGAATTCAGACCACTCAACTATTACAGAATGGAAGGCAATCATCCTGAGAGGAGACTTGAAGTGGGCTCAAGTCATGGGGTCAAAGCCAAAGATTGACCCCCTAGACCAGCTTCACACAAAAAAGAAAGTGGCCACCTTCATGGAAGGCCTGAATTAGGCCCAAAACAGGGGGTCAAGGCCAAGCAATGGCCTTCATAGCCAGCTTCGACATTGGCTTCGAATGAAGAAGAGACAGTTCGACAACTGGGCTAGTGGGCTCATGGGTACCTAGAGTTCCAAATTAGTTTGTTATACAGAACAAACCTAGGGAAATGTTTACCCAAAGAAATATTGTTAGAGACCAGGGTAAGATGGTTAAACCTCCTTTGGTAGCTCCAAATAATTGGGTGTTACTAAAGCATCCAAAAACAAAGGAACCAAATATGGTCCCAGTGATTTCTAGATCCCAGAGGAGGAAGATCCAGCGAAGGTACACTCAGTACCAAAAGGATCTGAAAGAAAGTGGAGAAAGCTCTTCATTGGTCCAGTCAAAGGGCCAGACAGAGGGAAAGAAAAGTCCAAAGTCAGATCATAGTCCAAACTCGACTCCACAAGACAAAATGAGTTGCAGCAGAGAGCAATTGGCCAAAGTTCACTTCGAACTAAAAGCCAAAAAAAGATCCAGTTTAGCAGGATTGGAAAGGGCTTTGATGGAAAGCGATAGTGAGACAGAGGGAGAAATTGGCCTAGGCCAAAGGAAGGAGATGGTTGAGGAGGAGATGTTCGAAGCCTTCATGGCTGAATAGACGTTTTTGGTCGAAAAACCAGCAGAAACAGACCATTCGAAGAAAGTTACTAATACTGAAATGCCAGAATGCAGCATGGAAGATACTTCTGAAGTAATTGAACAAGTGGGCCAGGAAGAGAAGCAGGTACAGCCAGTCGTCCAATTTGGCTCGTTTCCTCCAGTATCAGTGAATATGGTACATATACTACCACAAGAATTCCAAGTTGAAGATGAAAACCAAGAAGGTCAGGAGATTGACCCAATTCCAGTTTCTAATGAAGACTCACAAGTGAGTATGGTGCAAGATGAATCCAAAGTGGCCACACCAATGGAAACTGGAGACGAAAGTGGGGAAGATGTGAGTATTAACCTCTCATACCCTTTTGAGTATCCCACGACATCCATAACACAGCATGTCAAACCCTTGTATATCAAGGCCTTCTTCGATGAGATACAGATAAACCGGGTATTAGTGGATAATGGGGCAGCAGTAAACCTGCTTCCGAAATCTCCTTTGAAGAAACTAGGACAGAGGAACCCCAGATTAATCCCAACTAGTACAACCATTACTAGTTTCGCTGGAGACAAACAGATGGCTCAGGGCATTTTTCCCATCAACCTGAGCGTGGGAACCAGGGACTACATGACGACATTCTTCGTTATCGACAGCAATGCTAAGTATAATGCTCTACTTGGTAGAGATTGGATTCACACCAACAAATGTGTGCATTCCTCTCTACATCAGAAGATCATGATGGCCTTGTACAATGGAGAGACAGAGGAGATCAACGCAGACCGTCAACCCTTCATAGCTTGTGCAGATTTTGCAGAGGCCAAATTGTATACTGAAGGAGTGGCACCACTCAGTGTACTGAGGAAACCTGATGGATCAACTGAAGTGACAGCTGATGAGGAATTAACACACCTGAAGCACTTAGTCCAGAAAAGTGCTGATGAAGAGTTTGCCGCCAAAGATGACCATGATGCCTGGTTGTAGGCAAAAAGATGGAACCCAAGAGGCTAGATCTTTGGCTTTAGTTAAGTTCTCAGTATTGGACATAAAATCAATAGTCTAGAGGGTGCAAGAGTAAGAAAAAGAAGCCATGGTAATTAGCTGTAAGCAGGAGCAGCAACAGGTCAGAGTTTTGGCCTTGGATAAATATTGTGCATTGGACATTGAAACAAAAGTCCAGGAGATACAGGAAAAAGAAGCCTTATGGACAGACTTTTTCTATGAGGAGGTGGGCAAAGATGTTGAAACAAAGAAATTGGGAACATGACAAAGTAAGGAGATTGCTTCGAAGACAGAAGAAATTAAAAAAGAAGCATCAGTGAGCCCTCAGATGCAAGACCCTTTAAAAGAAGTGAACTTAGGGAAAGGTTCTATATAGCAGCCCACCTATATAAGTGTTTGGTTAATTGCTCTTAGCAGGGACCAGTTGTTGGTGGTTTTAAAGAGATATAAAGATTTTCTTGCATGGTCTTATAATGAACTACCAGGATTAGATAGGTCATTAGTAGAACATAAGCTCCCTATGAGGCCTAATTTCAAGCCATACAAGCAAAAACCAAGAAGAATAAGTCCTGAGGTGATTCAGAAGGTCAAGAAGGAAATTCATAGGCTCCTCAAGGCATGCTTTATTAGGACAGCCACGTATGTGGAATGGCTATCCAATATTGTGCCTGTAGTTAAGAAGAATCGTAAAATGAGGGTATGCATCGATTTTAGAAACCTGAATTTAGCAACCCCAAAAGATGAGTATCCTATCCCCATAGTAAATTTGTTGGTAGACAGTTCAGCAAGGCATCAAATTTTATCAATGATGGTTGGGCACTCTGGTTATAACCAAATCTGCATTGCAGAAGAGGATATCCACAAGACAGCATTCAGATGTCCTGGGAATATTGGCACCTTCGAATGGGTTAAAATGCCATTTGGCCTGAAGAATGCTGGGGCTACATATCAAAGGGCTATGAACACTATCTTTCATGATCTCATTAAAGGATATTTAGAGTGTTACATTGATGACATTGTAGTAAAGTCTCAATCCATGGAGAAACATTTGTTTCACTTGGAAGTAGCTTTTGAAAGAATGAGAAAGTTTAAGTTGAAACTTAATCCTCTCAAATGTGCTTTTGGCGTATCAGCTGGAAACTTCTTGAGCTATGTAGTACACAATAAGGGAATGCAGATTGATCAGAATAAAGCCAAAGCTATCATTGAAGTCAGACCTCCATCAAGTAAGAAAGAAATACAAAAATTCCTTGGGTAGGTTAATTTTCTTCGAAGATTTATTTCTAATACTGCAGGGAAAACTAAAGTATTTTCTTCCTTATTAAGGTTAAAGGATGAAGAAGAATTTGTGTGGACAGCAGAACATCAAACTGCTTTCGAATGAATCAAAGCCTACTTGGCCAACCCTCCAGTGCTGATGCCACCAAAGGTTGATAAGCCCTTGAAGTTATACATAGCTACAGTAGAGGATTCGCTGGGAGTTTTCTTAGCCCAAGACAATGAAGAAAGCAAAGAGCAAGCTGTTTATTACCTTAGTAGGTTTCTAAATTCTTGTGAATGTAAATATTCAACTGTAAAAAAGCTGTGCCTTTTGCTGCAATGAAACTAAGATACTATCTTTTGCCTACAACTGTCTTGGTAATTGCAACCACAGATTTGGTTAAATATATGTTATCTAGACCTATGTTGAGAGGAAGAATTGGCAAATGAATATTAGCTTTATCAGAATTTCATCTAGAATATGTTCCCCAAAAGGCAGTAAAAGGACAAGTTTTGGCTAATTTCTTGGCAGATCATCCATGTCAAATAGAAAGTCAAGAGATAATAGAACTTGGTATGGTTAGTGTTGAGCCATGGCAAATGCGGTTCGATGGATAAAAAACTAATGGTCTAACTAGAATTGGTATAGTGATTAAGTCACCACAAGGGGTAGAAACCACACATGGTTTCAGAGTGGATGAAATTAGTTGTTCCAATAATCAAGCTGAATATGAAGCTTTAATAATGAGACTGGAATTACTTATTGGATTACAAGCTCATGCGGTTGATATATTCGGAGATTCTCAGTTGGTGGTTAACCAGGTGAAAGGAATTTTTAAATGTCAAAGTATAAGCATGTTGCCATACTATATTGTTGCATTACATCTGCTTTCTCAATTTCAGATAGCAAATGTAACTTATGTCCCAAGATTCTTGAATAATAAAGCTAATGATGTGGCTCAGAAAGCTTCGAATTTCAAGAGAATGGATAACACTCAAAGGAACATAAGTCAAACAACATATCAAAAGGTAATACCACCTTTGAATAAAAGGAATGTGATCTTAGAAGTCAATCATAATGACTTACAAGAACAAGATTGGAGGCATCCAATAATGCAATATCTAGCTGGCCCATCTTCGAAAGCCAGCAGAAAAATCAAATTGCAATCTATGCAATACATAATGTATGGTAATGCTCTCTACAAAAGGGGGGCATATGGGTTATTATTGGAATGTTTAGGTCCAATGGAAGCATTAACAGCCATGGTTGAGGTTCATGAAGGCATCTGTCGTGCTTATCAGCCTGGTGTGAAGATTAGATGGCTGCTTTGAAGACATTCTTACTATTGGCCAACCATCCTTAAGGATTGCATAGAATATGCTAGAGGTTGTCAGGCATGCCAGAAGCATGGCACGATAAGACATGTACCCATAACTGATCTGTGTGCGGTTATGAAGCCTTGGTCGTTTAGAGGATGGGCTATGGATATGATAGGGAAAATACATCCACCTTCTTCGAAGCATCATTGTTTCATCTTAGTGGCCACTGATTACTTTACTAAGTGAGTCGAAGCTAAGCCATATAAAGTTGTAGATCAGACCGAAGTTATTGGATTTATTAAAGATCTGATCCATAGATTTGGCATCCCACAGACCATAACTGTTGATAATGGAACTGTATTTGATGGGAATATGGTAAAGTCCTTTGTGGCAGAGTTTGGAACTAGCCTTGTTAATTCTATTCCCTATTATACACAAGCCAATGGTCAGGC